TGAATCAAAAAAAGATAGAACGACTTCAAACAATAGAAAATGGTAACAGTAGTTATGGATTTAATCGAGAAACTATTCGAGATAAATATGTGGTGTCGCTTCCCATACTCGCCACCAGAGGGATCGCGCTCTCACAAGCGCTCGACCAATCCCTTGGTTGCTATATATACATTCCTCGAACGACTTCCCAACATTTATTTAAAACAATTCGAACGATGTCCAACTCTGATACCAATTACGATATTAACGTCTAAAAATGGTCACGAACGTTTCGAAATTGTGGTCGTTTCGAGTCGAACTGGATACACTGGTGAATGTTCTAATTTCTGATAAAGTAAAAGAGCGGAACGCGAACGGAGAAACGGTTTTATGGCCGCGGAACGTGAGTCATTTTGTTTGATAAAACCAGTATGGACTTTTCGGACATTTCGCGAGGAGCTGATTCCAAATTCCGCCCGTACGCTCGACCCTCTGGTTTATTTAACCATTCCCCGTGCAATATTTAAATGATCCACGGCCTGTTTCGAGTTTTCGAGCATCTATAGACTGTTCTTGCCGCGACTCTTGCAGCCCCCTTCTGCCCACTTGCATCTCTCTGTTTTGCATATTCTTTGCCCTTGTCGCTGCCTCGCGACACGACGCTCGTTGGACGTATTAAGTTGCCATCAGAATTTTTTTTTTTTATTTCCCCGGTCCCTCAATATTTCATGCGAGAACCTATCGAGAATGCCTTCTGGCACTAGGCTCCGGACGTCGCGAGTTTTTACAAGATTAATTTTTCATTTTTCGAGAGGGATGAATTTATATACAGCTGAATCATCGAGACGTGGCTTTTAATCGTGGCGTTCTCCTTTCATAAGCGACGGAGAATGAAGTCGAAGTGCTTAATAATGTCCAACTTTTATTCTTTGATTAATCTTTAATTTTATTCTCAATTCTCAAAACATGTATTGTTAACTGTTCATATAATCGAAGATTGGTTGAAAGAAACATATAATTTCTTTAAAAACAAAAATAGTGTTGCAGTTTTCCATTTAGAATTTAACAAAATGTGAACGTGAAACCATCGATGAATTCTGTGTCTGACTAAAACGATTGTCATTAGATTATCGCGTGGGAAAAATCCTTGAGCTCTAATTAGGACCAGTTCCGATTTCCCATGCTCTAATTGGAATTTGATCGATCGATGCAGTCCGATCTCATTCGGCAGAGTAACAGTCTGTCGATCAGGTTCTGATTTGGCACCCCACTTAGGGACTACTTTGAAACCTAATGCGTGTTCGATTGGATTCAGACATAATTCTAATCATAAATTTAAAGTATAATTCTTGTAATCTCTAAATAGTCACGAAATTAATTTCAGTTTCGTTCTGTTTTGCGAACATCTTCGAAACGTCAAAACTAATGTTGTTGTCAGTCAATGTCACTGCCAGTTAATCGATCGGTAAAATTGTTGTCGATCAAACCTGGTGTCGTTGAAAACAGTGTCGGTGATTTCAATGGGATTCGATTTTGCATCAATTTTCACTTATGTATCACGAGAATTGCTTGCTCGAGAAATGCTTAAGTCAACCCATCGAACAATTGTTAAAATAAACGCGAAATATACGAAAATTGACTGCAAAGTGTGCAAGTAGCGAATTCGAGAGATTGTACGGGGCGGAAAACAATATTTACGGATATTTTGCATCATAGTTCCCCAATTTTCACTTATGTACCACGAGAATTGCTTGCTCGAGAAATGCTTAGGTCAACCCATCGAATAATTGTTCAAATAAACGTGAAATATACGAAAATTGACTGCAAAGTGTGCAAGTAGCGAATTCGAGAAATTTTACGGGATGGAAAACAATATTTACGGAAATAAAAATGGGGAAGTCGAAGTGTCATGGACCGTGTATTTCAAGTTTGAAATTCCAGGGAAGTTACGAGGGAAATCTTCAGAATTCTTGGATCGTATCTCGTTCGAGATCGTTGGTGCAAGAATCATTGGTGAAAGGGCAGAAAACTTAGCGGCGGTCGGGTGTATTGGAATTTCTGTAACTATTCCGCAAACGTTGTAGTTTCAGTTTCTAATCCCAACGGTTTCTAATTATGCCGCGGCATAGCGTTTGCCGAGGACCGTGTATTCACCTTAATAATCGAAATTTCTAATTAGAAGGGAACACGCGAGTCAAGCTTTTAGCGTTATCGTAGGAAATCGGCGCCAGCTTACAATTAGCCGGGCGTATTTATATTCGCAAAAGGCGCACGTGCAGCCACGTTCAACCGGAAGAATCATTATTCCTTCGACTCCGCGCGTGCTCGATATCGTTCGATGAAAACTCTATTTTTCTCATTAACGTGCTAATTTTTCACCCATCGCGGGCTCGAACAGTCGAATAACCAAGTTTTAAAGCTTCGCGTAATACGTAATACGTAACGGGGGCTAAAAATAACAATTTTAAAAACTTGGTTATTATTTCAGTTAAGTAATCATAAAATTTAAAGAAAGGGATTTTATCAATCTATATGTAATTATATAAAAGTTATTCCAATAATGCTATTTTATGCATCAAAGTATATAGATTTGTCACAGTTTTCAGAGGCGAATCTGTGTATTTAGATCCAATCTATGGTGGAGATTTGATTGAAAAAACCTTCAGAAAAATTCATTTCTGTCATAAAAACTAGGTCCACGTTTTTTAAATCATTTCTGCGCATTTTGCTCGTCGAAAAAGATCGATAGTTTCAAAAGGATTTTCCGTTTGAAACATTTTGGTTTCTCCCAAAATATTAAAGTTGACCAACGAAACGTGAATCCATAGTAAACGAACCACACACACACAAGCAACTCTATGTGCTCTGTGTGACTGAAACTTTTACTAGCTTTGTGGGAGGACCAATCGTTTGCAACATGTGGTTTCTTCACAAATAGCATATCCAAAGTAAAACATCCGACTATGATTTGTATGCTGGACATTCTGGAAATATGTCTGAAAATAAATATCAATTTATTTCTTCTATAGTATATTATTTAAATTTCCACCCCTTTGAAAACAGCAAAATGTGTACATAAGCAATCTGAGCAAATAAGGATATCATAGGAGTGCATAGAGGCAGGTTTCCAGGAAACTTTAAAAATTTCCACCGTTAATAGCTCGAGGAAAAGATTGTTATGGGGATGATTTACAGCCACCTCGTGCTCCACCCTTTACAACATCCCCGTAACGATTGGAAATCGTTGTCGTTCCGGGTGGAATCTTCGATCGGAACAGTCGTTCGCAGCGGGCGGATCGTTTCGCGGAAGGGAACCAAACGTTCTCGTATAACTCACGGTGCCCTGATACCGCGCCGACGAATAGAAACGCCATTGAAATTCCACGCGTCCTACGACGATAATAAAGATAGCTACAACCATTGACATTTCTTCCCGAGCAAAAGAACTGTTGTCGTAAAACCGGGGAACTTGTAACGCGCCACGCGACCTCCAGCACCACCTCCACTTAAGCGTGATCGAACTCTTAACTCCAACGGGAAATTCCCTACGAGCGATGACGTTCGAGTTATTGTCCTTATCGCGAAAGGATGGCCAATCAAGCTTATATCGCGTGGATAGTGTCCCTTCAAACGTGTCTCGCCGTATCCCTCGATCCTTTACGATCGCCTCCGACGTTTCTCGCTGAACTTCCGTTCACTCGTGACGCGTATTTCTCGTTTACAGATTCAAACTTAATGAAAACTCTTTGAAACGTGTGTTTCCTGGCAGGTGGGAAAATAAAAATTTGTTTGACATAGAATTGGCGTTGGGAAAATTGCACGGTGGAACAGCAGCGGAATTTCGGGGGTTTGACGAACGAACCCCGCAGGGAGATTGCAATTTCGGGATACGTCGAGTTTAAGTTGAAGACATCGCGGTGAAATTCTGAAATTGAAGGGGTTGGATTTAGTGAGACGAGGTGCTCTAAACTTCGTTTAAAGAAGCACGGTATCGGGAATGCTCGGTGGATCAGGGGCGGGGACGGTCCGGGCGCGAATGTACGAATAAATCGAATTTGCTCCCCCTCCGGTCATTAAAGTCGGCGAACGTCGATGCAGATATTGAATTATGCGGTTTTGGCTGGATGCAACGATGTTTGCGAGTATAAAAGACAGGAAAGGAACGAGCCTTTACGATCCTCCACGGCCATCCCCGCGCAGCCCCTGCAATCCTCTTTATGACGCGACTTTTGCGATAACTGTAATGGCCACTCTCGCAACACGAAGCACGCCATTACCGTCACTCTATTTCACAGTTGATATCTCTGCTCTTTCAGGCACTACGGCCACCCTCACACTCTCGAGCGTCTCTTAAAGGCTGCACCTTGACCCAGTGTATCTAACGGGTCGTGTGCACCTGCAGGGGAACTCGATAAAAAGCATGCAACACAGTTATTATTATACCATCGAGCGTTGATTTATTTTTAGACGAGGCTTTTTTTTTTTGCGAGGGTTGCTTGTTCCGATGTTCACGTTGGTCCGTTTCAGGGGTCGTTGCGCGCACGATGATGCATTCCATAAAGATGGTACCTTCAGCTTATTAATATCAGATTCAATGCAGTTTTACAACATAAAAGTCCATTTTATTCAACATATTTTATTTTTTAACTTATAAACTCCTAGGAATAACTTCAGTGATTCTAAACACTTTGACTGCCACGTCATCCATGTTCTGGGTTTTTAAATGTCGTGTTTGACTCTTCACTGGCTCTAACAATAAGGAGGTCCCCTCAGTTGGGAAGGATAGAAATGTTCAACCTGCAAATCACTACTGTGCCTGCTATACAACTCGATCGTGTGACAATCTAACGGTTTCCCTGTCGTTTGTGTTTCCAGACGGCGACGCAGTGGAATCGAAAGGCTGACAGTGTCCAGAGGGAACGAGAACATTTTAAGAGGCGACGACTCGGGGCGTGGTGTCGATAATTCGAGCAAGGAGACTTCCGGCAGAACGTCGGCCCTCGCGATTCCGTTAACGACACGTACGGGCGATCGATACACCGGGACTTCGTCGGGTTTCGCGTCCAAAAGGAACTCTGGACGAGAGGAGATGTCCCGCAAGTGGTTCAAGAGACGAGACAGCACGTTCAAGCCGCCAGACATACGAATATAGCGAGTCGAGAACGGTTCAGCAGCCGCTCGAGGGACGAAGATCCAGCCCCGCGGTCGGCATCACGGCCAGGGATGAAACAGATTCGCGTTTCCAGGCGCGGAGGAAGGAAGGCAAGATCAAGCAGAGCCTGAGCGATCGCGTGCAGTCGTCGAAGACCGAGAAGCAGGTCGGTTTCTTCGACAGGCCCGCGTTCAAGTTCGGCTTCAGCGAGAAGGCGAGAAGGAATTCCGATTCGAAGGAGGTGGGTCCTCGCGTGAAATTGCAGAAGAACGACTCCTTTCTCAGGAAGCTCGTCAGAAGTTCCAAGGACAACATCGCTGGGGGCTGCGAGAGGCTGGTCAGGAACATACAGAAGAGCCCGTCGGTTCTGCGAAAGAAGTTCTCGTTCAACGGCGGCGAGGAGAAACCGGTGCCACCGGTCAGAAGAAAAGGATCCACCAAGAGGCCTCTGAAGTTCGATCGAAGCGGAACTTGTTTCAAAGATTCCCTCGCCAAGGAGTCCACGAAGATCCAAGTTTCCATCGTCTGTCCGAGCATCGACACCGTCGAGGACGGTTTTCTGTTGGTGAACGAGCCTTCGCGGATCCAAGTGAGCAGCCACGAGGGTGGAATCTCGCCGGTTCAAGCGCGTCGCGCGGTTTTCGAGGACGAGGATTCGTCGAAGAGCGTGTCCGTGGAGGACGTGGAGGATCTGATAAGGTCGGAGGACAACCTTAGGTTGCTGGAGCAGCGCGTTCTGATCAGGAGACGCTTGGAGAAGTCGACGAAGCTCTTCGAAGCGCTTCAGCCGAATCAACGGAGGTCCACCAGCGAGAAGAACCTTGTCGGGGACTCCAGATTCGACGCAGGCGAGCCAAGGTCGTTGATTTGGTCGGACAAGACGAAGGTACGGTGGAAGTCGTGGAAAGCGAAACGCTCGCCTCCGCCGGACGACTGGCTGGTTCAGAGGTCGACGAGGCTTCGGTGGACTCTGAATAACGAGCACGGGTCAGCCGATAAGCTGATTTCAGCAAGGAAGTCATGGATAACCGATGACGGGCTGCACGCCAGCCGTCAGTCGGCCACGTCGCACGGAGTAAAATGCAGACTTGCGAATTTCGCGGATGCCCGACAGCCAGACGGTGGGGACGCGGAGGGGACCAGAGACCGCGAGACTGCGGAAGAGCAAAGTAAACACGAGCTAGTCGCGAAACCGGACGGGAACTCGAGCAGCCTCGTCTGCTCGAACGCCGAGCCGACTGTTTTTCGCCCGGAAGCGAGCTTACGCGTCGAGACACGGCCCAACGATGAACGGCTAGTCGACGAGACGAAGACCAAAACCAACCCCGATGAAACTGCGGACCAAAGAGACTCTGCGTTGCCCGTCGGCGATGATACGAAGATCAACGTTCCTCCCGATTTCTGTCCAGTTCTGATCGATCGTAAGAAGTCCCAGACGAGATCCGCGAGAAAGAAGAAAGTGAAAATCTCAAAGTGTCGGAGGATCCAGGACTCGAACGATTGGAAGATGAAGTTCACGATCAGGATGATCAGGGTCCGCGACAAGCTGATGCTCGGTCTGAGCGCGTTCGCGATATTGTTCACGATCTTGTTGGTGATGGATCTTCAGATGGACCTGGGCTACAGCGGCCATCACCTGGTGCCCAGCCACGGTCGCGTTCGTATCGGCGACGATCCGAACACGGACACCATTTACAACAACTTCCGGCGGAAGTTCCTCCAGAGAGCGAACGCCAGCAAGGAACAGAACAGTGCTGACGTGTCCGGTACCACGCAGAACACCGGCAAGGACGTTGCTAACGAGCCTAGGGACTCGAGGACCGAGAAAACGAAAGTGCACGACAGCTTTTCGGATTTAGTGGACGTTCTGGTGAAAGGTTACGGTGTTGGGGTGTACGAGGGGGTGGTCAAAATTAGCGGAGAGAATCACTCGTATAATCCTACCTTGAGGGAGCTGAAGAAAATAAATCTAAAGTGAGTATTCGTCTTTTTCCTGGGTAAAAAATTAAATTTCGTTTAAGGTCGGAACGATGTTAATTATAAAATGAAACTAACACTTATTTATTCGTTATAAAGGTAACCGTAACTCGTATCGTGTGTCACGAATTTATCAAAATATTAACTAACGATTCAAAATTTTATTAAAATAATTTCTGTTATATTAGTTATTGCAACATCATATTCTAAATCCAAGTAAAAGGTATTATATAGTCACCATCGATAACCGCGCGTTAGATTTGTTTTTTTTCGGAATGTTGATAAGGTTTCTATAATTAGCTCTATCGAAGCAAACGTACGCGATAAATATCGTCCACCTCTCGGCTTATACGGCTTATGGCAATAATCAAGCTCGTTCCTGTCCCCTGGAACAACAGAGACTCTCGAAAAGGAAATTTACTCATTTATTCGTAACATATCAATGAAATATGGCGCGCTACTGCGTTTAAGTACTGATGATGCGGTATCGTACTTATATGGCTGCTTACGCTCGTTAATTGAAATTTATGCACCGACACGTACCATTTATCGCAGTCGTGTTACCCAGTTTTATTTTCAAGGGAATTGTGTAATGTAATTAAAAGAAGTACATCCACGAAACACACAAAGGAACTGCATTGTATTGTAATTATCTTGGTTTCTCACACTTGCGTAACACGCTGTTATGCTACGTTAATTAGCTACGTTAATTCAGTCGAAGTCAGACGCGGGCAAAATTTTATTAAAATAATAACCAACGCAAATCAACGTATAGCAATTTATTCGTGACGTTTATCTATTTCTTGTGAAATATTTCCTTTCTTCGTTCGTCGTTTGAAATCATTACAAATATTTTGCGCGTCTCTTCGATCGGAACTTTAAATAATATAAACACGTTTTTGGAAGAGTCATTAACTGCTTATCATGAATAAGTGTCTCTCGGCAATATCTCTGTTGATATCGTGAACGATACGACTCGATTATTTGCAGTATATTTCGAGTCGGTTTATAATTCTGAGACTCACTCTTATGATAAGATTCTTCATATTTATGAGTCGATTTAAATGAATAAAAAAATATAAATAGTAACTCCAACTAAAGTTTTCAAGATGTTTTCCATCTGTACATGTTTTATAAATTTCTATCTCTCAACGATAAGTATTTCAAAATTAAGAACCTTGCAGGGATTAAATAAACATTTTCTTCGGCTTGCTGGCCATTTTCAAGGCAGTTCTAAACCATGACTTCTCAATTATTTATAACTTGGATATCTAGAGAAAAAACGTTAGGAATTTTTACCATTTCGGGTTGGAAAATCTGGAACATGTCTTCGTAAGACGTTTCTTAATCAACGTCAGCTCGAATAACAGACGGATGAGTCAACGAGCAACGACATTCGTTTATTTAGTTCGAACCTAAGACGCGCACGTATCTGGAATAGTGTTTAGAAACAGCGTTATTTTTACTGTTCAAACGATGAATTCCTTATCGGTGACGATAACAATGCCCGGAGAGGACGTCTCGTAACAGTTTTCCGTTTGCGTCGACCCTAGTGAAAATATCTGTTCCCGTTTCGTCGTAAGATAAGCGAGCTTTTCAGTTGCTGGCGCGCGACAACTAATTAAACGGAATAACGCCCAAAATAGCAAGTTTTAATCTCGCCTGACCGGCCATCGAAATCTCCTAAACCGATTCCCGGGGCTTCGAATACCACTCTCGTTGTTTTTTCGCCGCGCAGTTAGAAAAGTTTCTGCTATTGGACGAAAGGTTCGATGGAAAACCGATCGGGCCATGGCGACGGAATTAGGTTAGGTTAGGACAACAAGAAATAGTGTTAACGTAAGTTTAATCGATCGTTTCAACAAAGTATCGACACGCTCAATTTTAAAAAAATATCCTTACATATTGAAATGATTTTTTTTTACAAAACAAGTATAAATTATTTATTACATATTTATTTATGTCTCAGGGATGTTCGAGATTTTTTTCACATATTTTATATCGATATTCATACGTAAAGATATTTGAAAAGAGAATGAGTCGATACTTTTTTGATCCACCGTGTATGGATGTTCTATCGATAGAAACGAGATTTACTGTCAAGTATCAGGCTTCGATGCGTCTTCGATTTTTAATTCAGCGAAATCGAGAACGTCGTTCTGTCGTAACAAGCAGATAAGAGGCCTCGAGTCGCGATATGTGGATCACGAATGTTCTTTGCACTGATTGCGTCGACCTTATGCTTTTAACTCGCAGTATCCAGAGAAATGATATGCGCTCGGAGACCGGTAGAAGCATTTCAACCATTTCCCAGCGCAGATGCTAAACATTAGCTTCGTTTGCTGGCTCCTTTTCTTCTTATCAGGGCTCCAATGAAACTGTTAAAATTTTCAATTAGTTCTCACATTGCTGTCATGTCTTTTTACACTTCACTTTTCTGTTCTGAGAAAACACTTTCATATCCACCGTGACTTATCTTCGATGTCTGTTCGAATGTTGACGCAACAATTAAAATAGAAAAAGAAAGAATTTAGGAGTTTAAAGTTTAATAAATAACCTTTATTTATAAAAGTTTACAGTTTCGTTCGAGCCCTGCTTCTTATCGTTGCATCGAAGATTGCATTGTCGAGTCAAAAACCCTGGCTCAGCGGAAATTTTCGTTTCCTTTAATTTCCATTCGCTGGTGCAAATTCTTCTTTCTTTATCCCGCGTTCTTTTTAAGCGCGAGAAAGTAATTTTAACAAACGGCAAAATCTTCAAATGATTTCGAATAGGGAAACCAAGATACGTTTTAGGAATATTTACTTTCCTTTTAATGTTTTTCTCATTGAACGACGTTATTCGCTGAATAAACAAAACGATGTTCAATACCAGACAAATAATATTCGGATAATTCCTTTGCGTTGTGTAATTTCAGTATTCTGTACAATATTGAATTAATTAACGTAGAAACGAGGGAACGAAACGTGTGTCTTTATAATAATTAATATATTGAGGAGTATAATAAAATTAATAAACCGTTCCTCTGAACGTATTTCTAAAGTTAAACGTAATTAAATATGACGGAAGTATTCGATCAATAAATAAAATTTTAGTTTTCCGCCGCGATCCAAATCGATAAATATCGCGATCAGTGTCGATTCAAGTTTGTATCAATTAACGAGCGATCTATTTTCTCGTACGACACAATTAAAAAATATCCTTGAAAGAAGACTTCCTCGACTGGTCGTTGAATAATCTTTCTATCGCTTAAACGATTTTATTGTCTCGCAAGCGCGAATCAGCCGCGTCGCGTGAACCTCTGCACACACCAGCGCGTGTTGTATTAGCATTCACTCACTTATGTGTGTGTCCAGGGCACATATTCTTGTGCAAGCAAGTTGTCCCATGGCAAACGTAATTATACCGATGATAGAAGGAATACGCATGATTCACGTATGTGTTTGCACGGATGTGTTCCCATCGACCGGCGGGGTTGCGCGTCGTTTTCATCGCCTGAACCCTTTCCACTCGACCGTTCGCGAGAACGTGATTTTTCCCCGACGCTTTTCCTCTCTTCGTTCTCCCCCGACGGTCCTTCTCCTCGGAGCCTAATTCCTCCCGCTCGGAATTGCGTGTAATTGTTCTGCACAATGGCCGCGGTAGCCAATCGACAATTCCGACCACGTTGAGTCGTTATAATGTAGAACCGCTCGATCGAATTAGGCTACCCTCCGACTCGGGGGACGGGCGATTGTTTTTTTACTCGATCTCGACCACCAGGCGACTTTAATTCGGGAATTCTTTCACCTGTCGATTTACAGACGTATCCTTCGAACTCGTAAGTGATTTAATCAACGCTATCCATGAAAAAAACCAAAGCTTTTCACGACTTCGAATGTAGAAATGCGTCTCTAATTATTCCAGAAAAAAATGAACCGACCACGTGACGAGAAATAAATATGCGTAATTCGGTGGCCCCCGACCGAACGTTCAGCGTACAACAAATTGAGAATGCCCTTTAGGAGTACAGCAAGCTTTACCCGGAAATCTGTTTAATCGGATTTGGCCTGGCGCTGTCGTTCACGTGCCCATAAAAAAGCTCACCTTTTCTCCGTCCCGCGCGCGCGGCGGGGTTCCCCCCCCGGGAATAAGGATATCGCGATCCCCGGGCGACGTGAAAAACTTCCAACGATAGGAGCTACCCGAGGACTGCATTGAGACGCAGCAGACTGCATTTTTCATTGCATTTCTCTGTGAAGATCGATCCACGGGAATAGAGCTAGGGAACGAAGGGTTTCCGAGGTTCGTGTATTATCGAGCGACCGGGAAGGAAAACAAGAAGCATCTCCCCGAAGGTTACACGTTGTAAGCATCCTCGTAAGCACAGGCCCTCCGTTCTCACTAGATAGACAGCACCAGTGACCTCGCTGTCTGGGGAATACGCCATTGTTTTGCGCCGCACAACCGTCAACAATGCCTTAATGTCCCCGTTCGAGGGGGTTACTTTACCTTTGAATAGACTACGTGTGTCCCGTGCACAATGCCGGAGCGGACCGTTTACACGTGAACTACTCGCCCGCTGATACGCCGCGCAACAGATATATTCCGTCGAGTGCGACAATACTTGTTCGCAGCAGAGTCGTAAACGTTCGATGCAGTCCACTCTCTGAAGCTCCTCCAGTTGGGACGCGGTAAGGTGAATACTGGGTGGTTGGGAGCCATGGCCTTCCGGTGGGATCTATAATTGACGGCGCAAATACAAGGTGCTCCATAACGCGTGACACCCACCTCGATCGTGGGCAGGGACAAGCAAAATCGAATCGAACGCCTTCATTTAGTAGAAACCAGCATTTCGAACGAATTCTTCCTCTTCCATTTTGCGTCGATCGGCCTTAGTTTTCGAGATACGGTAGTGATTCGTAAAATGAACTGACGTGATTCGTAAGATGAACGTGAGAGCTATAATTGACGATACAAGTACAAGGTTCTTCATAACGCGTGCTAGCTAACTCTGA